AATAATCATTTTTCCATAAGGACATCTGCACTAGAATGTTTATCTCAGCTAGATTCACAATTGCCAAGATTTGGAAACAATCCAAGTGCCCATCAATTCACAAATGGATGTATAAATTATAGTATATATATACCATGCAATACTATTCAGCCATAAACAAAGATGGAGACTTCACATCTTTTGTATTTACCTGGATGGAATTGAGGAACATTTTCCACAGTGAACAAATATCCCATGTATTCAATACTAATTTGAAACTAGTAGATGGACAACTTTAGGTCCACACAAGAGGAAAAACACAATTAAATTCAAGAAAGGGGAAGGGGGGAAGCAAGGAAAGGGCTAAATTAGCCCCACCCAAGGAGCACAGGGCAGGAGCACAGGGTACATCTTCTGGGTGAAGAGCTCAAGAAGGACTCCAACTTTCCTAACATAGGCAACACTGTAACCTAATCATGTGCCCCTTATATTAATGAGGAGGAAAGGGTACAGAGTTTCACTTAAATAGGAGACACAATTTGTAGAGATCTATTGAACATCATGGTGAATACAGTACTAATAACCAATGGTATGTTTTTCCAGATTGCTAAAATGGTACATTTTTTTTATTAAATGATAACTATGTACATAAATGCAATTCTGGGGTACAGTGTGGTGTTTTCACATACGATTTGAAATATTTTCATCAAACTGGTTAGCATAGCCTTCATGTCATTTTCTTAGTTATTGTGTTAAGATGTTCATATTCTACTCTTAGAAAGATTCACATGTACCTTTGTAAGATAAACCATAGAAGTGATCCTTCCAATCACCCTCCCTTCACTCATTCCCCTGCCATCTCCCTCCCCCTCCCTGTATTCTTAGGCTGTTATTAGGTTATAGATTTCATATGAAAGCTATAAATTAATTTCATAATAGGACTGTGTACATTGGATACTTTTTCTTCCATTCTTGTGATACTTTGCCAAGAAGAACACTTTCCAGCTCCATTCACATGAACATGAAGGACATAAAGTCTCCATCTTTCTTTATGGCTGCATAGTATTCCATGGTGTACATATACCACAGTTTGTTGATCCATTCATGGATTGATGGGCACTTGGGCTTCTTCCATGACCTGGCAATTATGAATTGGGCTGCAATAAACATTCTGATACAAATATTTTTGTTGTAATGTGATTTTTGGTCTTCTGAGTATATACCTAATAAAGTAATTATAGGATCAAATGGCAGGTCTATTTTTAGTTCTCTAAGTGTTCTCCAGATGTCTTTCCAAAAGGAATGTATTAAGGGTAGATTTCAAATGTTCGCATCACAAAAACTGTTAAGTATGTTAGATGATAAATATGCTAATTACTTTGGTTTAATCATTGGACAAAGTAACTATATATTGGAATGTCACATTGAACTCCATAGATAAGTAAATAAATAAAACTATTTGTTATTTAAAATTTTAAAAAGTACAATAAATAACAGCAATGTAAAAAAAGGAGGGGGTTGGATGCAGTGACTGACACCTGTAACCCTAGCACTTCAGGAGGCCACAGCAGGAGGATTACTTAAGGCTAGGAGTTGGAGATAAGTCTGAACAACACAATGAAATCCTATCTATACAAAAATTATAAAAATTTTTCTGGGTAAACACACTTGTTGTCTCAGCTACTTGGGAAGCATGAAATGGGAGGATCACTTGAAATTACAGTGAACTATGATGACACCACTGCACTCCAGCTCAGACAGCAGAGAGAGTATGTCAAAAGACAGAGGAAAGAATGAAGAGGAGAAGAAAAGGAAGAAATGAGGAGAAAGAGCTTAAAAGAGGAAGAGTAGAAGGAGGGAGAAGGAAGAAAGGAAGGAAGGAAATAAGGGGAAGAGTGAGGTGGGGGTGGGGACAATGAATAAATGGAAACAAGATAGATTGTCCAGTGGCATTTTCCATAGTCTAGATTTTACCTTTTTTAGAATTTCACATTAATATGAGAGTACAATTTTTAGATTCCATTGTTCTCACTTCCAAGGTATCTGTGCTACATAACCTCACAACATGCACATTAGGTGAGATCCCAACTCATACCCTCCTTCCGCCAATCATCCTCCCTCCTCCCCCTTTCTCCTCTCCCTGCCCCCATACTAGACTATATTTGTGTTTAATTGTTCATATGAGCATGTAATTTACATAATGGTTTCATATTAGTATTTAATATATTTGATATTTATTTTCCCATTCTTGCTATACTAAGAAGAATATGTTTCAATTCCATCCAGATAAACATAAAAGATGCAACGTCTCCATCTTTTTATGGCTGAATAGTGTTCCATGGTATACATATACCACAGTTTGTTGATCCATTCATGGGTTGATGGACATTTGGGTTGCTTCCACAAATTCGCAATTATTAATTGAGCTACAGTAAACATTTTGGTGCAAATAAGTAGCCTTTGTATATGCCAACAATAGCCAAGATGAGAATAAAATAATTTATAGTAGTGCCAAAGAAGATGAAATACCTAGGAATATATCTAACAAAGGACATGAAAGAGCTTCATAAAGAGAAATAGAAACAAGTGAACTTCACTTTTCTAGAAATAGAATGTAAATGTTTTGACACAATGACTATGCAAATTACATGAAATCTATGTGAACCAGCTCGATGA